AAAGGAGGAGAGGAGGAAGAAGGGGAAGAAGGAGAAGGAGGAGGAGGTGGTGGTGGAGGAGGAAACAGCTTAGAAACACAGGACTCACCACACCACCCCTGGTCCAGCTCGTGAATCCTTGACCAGCTGCTGGTAGAGCTGAAGCAAGCGCTCCTGCCGTTAGCCTGCGATCCAACGCCGAAGTCTTCCTCCTGCCAGCTTCTTTCTCCGCCTTCGACGCTCTGCCGATCATGGTCAGGGCAGGAGCAGAAAGTGGAAGAGGAACGGAGGAGCAGGGAGGTACAGGAACAGGAGCAGCAGGGTCACCATGCTCTCCGTCAGTGATTGATGACAAGGCCTCTGCTCCTGCTCCTCCTCCTGCATTGACTCGGCAAAGGCGCTGGATGCCGGGTCCGGCTGCTCCTGAGCTGTAGAGGAGCGATCGACTGCTGACGTGCTCCAGCGATCGCTGGAGGCCTTGGACGAGGAGGAGATGGAGGAAGCAAGGGGAGACTTCTTCATGACTGATCGCGCGACGGCCTGAACAACAAGTGAGAGTAAGAACAAAGAGCGAAGATGAAGATGGAGGGCAGAAGTATGGCAATCGCAGTCGGAGTTGAAGCGGGAGTGAGGGTGGTAATAGAAGGATGAAAAAGAATCAGAGGAGGAGAAGGAGGAGGAGGAGGAGGAGGAGAAGGAGGAGGTCGAGGAGAAGGAGGAGGTCGAGGAGAAGGAGGAGGAGGTCGAGGAGGAGGAGGAGGAGGTCGAGGAGGAGGAGTGAGGTAGAGAGCGAAGCCAAAGACATAGTGGTTGAATGGACGGAAGAGCGAAAGAGACCTGGAAAGACTCGACCGGAATCTCGTGCCCACGCAAGACTCTCTTGAAGGTAGTGGAGGGGTTTTCAGGCATGTTACCAGTAGAGGACTCCAGTGAAGAAGCACTCTTGAGCAGCTCCACCGCATCCTCGTCCCCATCAGCCTGTTTTTCCTCCTCCTCCTGAGCTGGAGCAGGAGTACTGCTGCGCCTCTGACACATGAAGGCCATGACCACAAGCAGGGCAACGTTGCACATGGAGAGGAAGCACGCGGTGCAGAAGAAGTCCGTGTCTTGGCAGCATGTCAGATCAGCACGAGCCTTTCTCTCCTCCTCACCTCCCCCCGCGAGCACGAAGGGGCTGCTCAGGAAGGAGACCTCTTTGCCCTCCAGGTGCTCGTCCTCTCCCAGCAGTGGTACCGTCCTCCCCACAATGTAGCGCAGGCTCTTGAGTTTCTCAACGGAGGATCGAGAGTCTTCGTTGGGGGAGGAGGAGGAGGTTCGGAGGTGGAGGAGCCCCCATACAGCCAAGGCTGGATGGATCCATGTCCCTCGCATCTCTTCGCCCTAGTAACGGCAAGTGAGGAGGCAGGACGGGGAGGGTGCGGGGCACACGGCGAAGAGTGTACATGATGGGAGGGAGAGCATGCAGCTGATGCGAAGATGCAGCGAGGAAGGGAATTGGCTACGAGAAGGCAAGCAGAGAAGGTGACAGATGAGGAGGAAGGAGGAAGAGGCGCAGAGTTGACAAAATTACCTCTTTGATCATCCTGTACCTCGTCCCAGGAAGGAATTGCCCACCTGACGTGTCTCGCAGAACGTTGACCTCCTAGGAGAAAGTTGAGCTCGCGCAGGCTACGGAGCCCCGTCTCCTCAGCTCAGGAGAAGAAAAAAAGGAGGAAGAGGAAGAAGAGGAGGAAGAGGAGGAAGAGGAGGAAGAGGAGGAGGATTCAAGATGATAGTCTCACCTCGATGTCTATCTGCATTCCCCGTACTTGTCCGCGGAACTCTGTCACCCCCTGGCCATCAGACCACATGATTTCTCCCCTGCACGCTCCATCCTCCTGCAACAGCAGCTTGCTGTCAGGGAGAATGGCATAAAACCACAGAGAAGGAGGGAGAGATCCGCAGCAACATGGGAAACAGAGCAAGAAAGCGTGCATGAAATAAAACAGGTGATGGCAGGAACAGGATTTCAATGCCTCAGTGCATGCTAGGACTAGCGGCAATACTGCCGGTGTTGAAAGAGGATGAAGGAGTGTGCAGGCAAAGAATTGAGAGAGAAGAAAAAGGTTGTCAACAAGACTACACAGAGGAGGAGGAGGACGAGAGGGAGTGAGGAGGAGTGATGATGATAATGATGATGATGATGATGATGATGATGATGAGGAGGAGGAGGAGGAGGAGGAGGGGAGGAAACCTGTTTCATCTCAAGGATCTTGAGTGTCATATCGATCTCAGTATCCGAGTCTTGCACAAACGTCCCTTGCCAGGACCCCAGCTGCCATGTGTCCTGCACGCTACCCTGAAAGAGCGTGAGAGGCCGCAAACAGCCGTAACAGCATGCAGCACATGCGTACGATGGGACAGCAAGCTTGCCCACAGGTTCGCCTCCTGCTCACGCGGGAGGTCACTGCGGAAGGAGAGGAGCCAAGAGATTGTGAAGGATGCGGTTGATGTGGATGGGATGTTGGTTGTGAATGTTGGAGGGTGGTAAGATCAGCCAGATTCGCACCTGGACTTGCGCTCTGCACCGTTGAAGTTCTTCTATGAGGACGAACTGCAGCATTTCGAGAGGTGGAAGAGACAAAGAGAGAGAGAGGAAAGAAACAAGAGAGCCACGAGGAGCGGCAACAAGCACAGAAACGATTCGCAACGAATGAACAACGCAAAGGCAAGACGCCCGCAGAAAGAGACACTCGTCAGGATACTGCTCACTCGAGTTTGAATGATCAACCTGAACTTCATCGGCGTGAGGAGCAGGACATTCTCTTTCACTCCCTCGCTCCTCGAAGTGATCACCTCTGTATCCTCCACTCGCCTCCTCCCTCCTGTGACCAAAGAATTTCTTCCACCTCCAGCTCGTCCGCCATCCACTGAAGAATCCGTTGGTCGCCTCCTCCTGTTCGTTGACCGTCCTGCCTGATTGAAACGCCTCTTCCTCCCTCCTCCCATGTTGGCGGTGGGCCATGTCACTCAGAGCCTTGGTGATCTGCTGCTCAGACGCCTCGGGATCCTGAATGTTCGACGTGGTGTCCCTGCTCAGCAACGATTCAGGGTCTGGGGGGAAGGACGGAAGAGTGTGAGAGCAATGCAAGACATGAGCGACGCAGAAGATGAGGTGGGCGGAGGAGAGGGACAAACAAGGAGCAACCTGAACTTGTTGAATCGCTTCTGCAAGCTGATGATGCTGTTCACGAGCTCCTTCCTCGAGGGGCCCTGCGCTTGCAGCAAGCTGGTTGCATCCTTCTGCTTGTCGTTCGCAGTCCTCCACAATGTCCTCAGTCTTGTCTCCAGGTACGTCATTGCGCTCTCCTGCATGGAAGAGATCCGTCTATCGCCTCCGTTGGCCATCACCTGGTCAAACGGGTCATTTCAGCAGGTCCCTAGCGCACCTTCTCGTATATGTGATCTCATAAGAAGCATGCCATGTAAACAGAAATACCGAAGTTTTGCAACGCATTTGCCATCAATTTCATAGCATGCAAGCAAGGTTCAGATTTTCATCGCACTGCATAGCTTCATTGCAGCATGCCCCGTTAATGATTCAAGACAACAAAACTTACAGTTTGATCTCGATGGGATGGCTGCTCCGAAGGCTCTTTAACCCACGACCTCCTGCACCGTTTCTGTCACCCCTATGAAAGTCTCGTGCAGCTGCAATCACATGCCAATCGCCGACCGCAGCAGCTGAATCTCCTTCTCTGCTTTCTCCACTCTACATCGCATGCCACCATTCAGGAGGTGCTAGGACATGATCAAGACCAGACCTTTCAAGCGCAGCTTTCAACTGCTCTTTCAAGACCAGAGATTGCTCGAGCTGAGAATTATTCTCGTCTGCAGAGGAAGATGTGCCTTCCTTGGCAATTGCAGCATCTGAAAGCAATTGATCTACAAGATACATGTGAGTGATATCAGTGGATGACCGTCTTGTTCATGCTGGCACAGCACCGCCCCAAGGGACAAACCATTAAGCTCGCATGCCACTCATCATGACCTTACCACGTGAGTTCATCATTTTGTGAAGCTGCAGATCAAGGTTCTTGACAGCGGCGAGCTTCTTGGTCTCCATTACGGTCTTGGATTGCTTCTGCACCTCTGCTTGCTCATTCTTGTACTTCCACAGAGAGTCAACATCCTTGTTTTCAAATTCAAATCGCGTAGGAATAGAGGAGAAATGAGAGCGATGGGTTGAAGCAGTCTTAGTTGTGGAGGTTGCGATGTTTTCTTCATCGGACCTCAAGAAGTACGCCTGAGTCTTTCAAACCCTTTCACGTCAGAGTGGCCTGCGCAAACTCCCTCTGCTACCTGTTTCTTCATGATGTCGTCAAGACTTTGCGCTCTGGAACCGGAAAGGGAGATGTTCAGCTCCACTTGCAGGTCCTGAATACTATCACACTCATTTCGAGCTTCAAGAGAGCTGTTACGAGATTGTCGATGTGTTCGAGTGAAGTTTTCTGTTAAGTCGACATGTTGGTCACACAACGTCAACGTGCCATACAAGATGTTACATTCTTCAAGATGTGCTCGGCGGGTTCGCGCGGCATCTTCAACATGTCAACGTATGTAGACACGTTCGCATTTCCTCACTGCTTGGCTCGAATCTTTCGTCTCATCTTGCATCCCAGCGTTTCCAAACGAGTTGCGGAAGTTGGAAGATGCTGAAAACATCTTCGGCCGTCGTTCAAGCCTGTGAAGATGCTCAGCAAATGGCCTGTTAAGAAAGATGAACGCTCTACTTCAACGTGTTGGCCGACGCGAAGGAAACAAATCCAAAGGAACAAGCAGTTGCCATTAAGGTAGTTAGATGCTTCCTAAATATGCACCGAGATTGCATTCTGTATGATTTAAGAGGTTTTGCTTCCATCGCAGCTCCTGCCAAGATGTAGAAATTCAGAAGATGCTGGAAAGATCAAGAGGAAAGGTCTTGTAACAGCTCTCATTTCACCCCGCGTTATACTTAGATGATCTTTCGTTATTCAACCATTACCTTGAGCAGAAACTGCCATGCCAGTGGAGGTCCCGAGAAATAAATTTCTGTCATGGAAAAAAGGATGTGAGTCTTGGGACCTAGGAACAAGACCACGTGGCAAGATTGGACGGGTTGAAATGGGAGGGGGTGAAATGACTTGGCACAGGACGTGACGAGTTTGGGTCAGACAGGATAGGACGAAATGGGTTGGGATGGGTTGGGATGGGTTGTATAATGATGACAGTCAGGGGTTAAATTTCAGAACAAATACACTGATGAAAAAGATCCAAGGGCGAGGCAGCCATTTGCATTTAAGGGAATACGAGCAAGGAGGCAGCTGAAGACTGGAGGGGAGTCGTGGACACACAAGGAGCAAGAGACGAGGAGGGAGGGGGGTGAAAGAGTCTGGGAGGGGGAGAGAGAGAGTGGGAAAGAGCACGAGCATGCGAATGCAGCAAGGCAGGCGGGGAGGGAACAGTAGGGGGTTGCTTGTTACGAGGACAGTGCCAGGGTTGCGGCAAGACAAAGGAGGGACGGAAGCAAGGGGGGTGAAAGGTAAATGGCAACGACAAAGGGGGGTAGGGGTAGACAATTCTTTCGATGGGGTAGTGGGGTGCAGCCGGTCCAAGAGAGGGGTACATTCAGTAAAAAGGGAGACTAGTAGGGCACCGCTCCTGGGAGGAGGGTACTTTATGGTCTTGACTAGGGGTAGGGGTGGATCCAGTTGTATTTAGGGTGGGGGTCCGCAAAGAATCGAAACTCGTACGGCCTCAACTAAAAATAACACTCCAATAGTTAAATTAGCCACAAAACGATTATATTTGATCTGACTGTATATTAGATAACAGCATTTACCCACTAATTAGTCAATATTTGGTTATCTGTTGCAATGGAGGAGCCGAGCCCTATATCGGAGCCTAGCGGACATACAGCGAGCAATCCAGGGGTGTTTCCTTATATAATGCATTTTCAACAGGGGGTAGGGTCCACCATATCTACAATTTGTGGCCCTACCTGGGGATAGTCTGTACTAAGACCCACTATCAGAATGGAAATAGGATGGTGGTACTCGCCTAGAAGCTGCTAGGAGTAGCCCTAGGACAGAGTTGTTGCACCCTACCATACACATGGCGACCTGCAGGAACCGCAGCCCGTCATGGACTGATGTGCATCTGAAGTGCAATGTCGTCCTCAGCACCCTCAACAAAGATTCAGGAGTGCGATGCCGCGTCCATGTGCAAGGCTTTCCCGGCACCAGGCAGAACGTTTCCCAACCTGACCCTGAAGATCATCACGTAGGGGACTTTGAACCTACGCGAAGTTGCAAGCTACTGGAGGCCGATGGCATGGGTTAATCCTGGACTTCAGCATGTCACATGTTTTTGACAATGACATGGGATACCGGACCTGGCTCGGTGCAAACGGCACTGCGGCAAGCACTGAGCAGCACAGAGGAACATCCGAGGGCTATGTTCAGCACCATCGTCCCGCCAAAGGCCCGGCCTTTCTTCCCATCATCGTCAGCACTGACGGACTCTTGCAGGATGATGCGTTGCGATTTCTGTGGTGGCTGGCGGATCGCTCGGCGAACAAGGAAACGGCAGCGCTGGATTTTCTCTGGGCCTCGCAAGTTGTCTGAGGTGATCGGACATGCAAACGCATCCGGTCCAGGATCTTTCGTCAGCTCAAGGCCTCCCTGCCCTTCGCTGCCATCATCGCGGGTGCGTTCAGGTATGCGTCTCATTCCTTCGGCGGCGGCCAAAGCGATATCGCTGCCATGGCGCGGGTCGCCGTATGGCCTGTGCGACAGTGTCCGTCTGGGTCAAGCCTCCTCTACCGAGGCACCAGGTGTGAGGGCTTGGGTGGAAGTGAACTAGACATAGAGCAGAAACCCTTAGCTTCAAGGGATCTCGTCATGAGATTTGGGACAACGAAAGACTCGCAACCGATGGCTTTACAGTCATTCCCTCCTAATGTCCACGCGCGAAAGGCAAACCTGGATACCCGTGCTCTGAATCGAGGCATGGAGCCATGTAATACAAAATGCCTAATTTTTGCTATGATGTTTTCGCTCGACAATACAGCATGGGCTACTGATCTTGTTCAAAGTATGTAAGCATGACCTACAACACTTTAAGTAAATACCACATAAAGACAGGTCCACGAAACCACGACAAAACACAGCCAGTTCTTTCAAATCCGTTGCACTCCCTCGCATATGCCATCATTGTGCTATAAGGACATTTATTACATGAAGTCCACTGTCATGAAGGTTCTGTGCGATTCAAGCCGAGCAATGTGGAAGAGATCTGAGAAAGTATCAGATGCAGCAATAAACGTTGCAGGCTTCCAGGCGCTATCGACTGTTCCTGCTCAAGCACTGATCCCCCGATTCCATAGTTCGCCTGCCGCTCTGGATGCACTTCCTGACGAACACCTTCTTCCCCATGCCCCTGATGATTGTCACCCTGTGTACCTTCAAACACCCGTGCTCGCTCTGTTTCTGGCTGTGCCTGTCCTGCCACTTGCTCGGGCCGGCAGCCAACATAAGGTGAACCCTTGCATTCGTGAAAGGCGGGGGGGTCGCACCTGACTGACTGGTCTTGTATATCCATCCCAGTTAGCCCACGAACTTTCATATTTTTATCTCGGCTCCAAGCTTCCATTTCCGCCCTCAAATGCCCAACAGTATTCAAAGCCCTATGAACCAAAGCATCCATGTTTGGCGTAAGCCCCCTTTCTAATATTAACTTCTGCTGCGCAATGATCTGCTCCTGCTGCTCCGTCATATGTCGCAGCAGCCCCGCTATCTCCCCTGCCGTCTGACTGTCGATACCCTCCCCCCCTTGCGACTTCTTGAACGTGCTCTCGCGCCTGTGCTTCCTCTCTCCCGGCTGGGGCTCTGCCTCGGGCATCCAATTATGCTTCCCCGCCTCCCCTCCTGCCCCTGCTCGCTCAGCGTGCTGCGCAAGCGCTCTGCTCTTCTCCCCCGCCGAGGACGCCGACGGACAGCTCGCGCTCGACCCCCGAGTCGGAGAAAGGGTCCTTGGGCTCCTCGCTGTCGCTCGACTTTCTGTCCTCGCTGCTGCCGCCTCCCCACCTCCTCAAACCC